TCCCAGGGCAGCACAGCCCCTCACCAGCCCTGCTGGGGATGGTCCCGGCAGGTGAGGTGGTCCTGGGAGACGCTGTGGTGTGAGGGTGCGTACCTGCGCGCTGTGCTTTCAGATGAAGGTGGTAAAAGTATTTGGCAAAGCTCTCCTTCAAAGCCATGGGGGGTTTTGCGTTGCTCATCCGCATGATATTTCCTGGTTTGAGACCTACGGGAGGTCCCTCCTTCTGTGACTCTGCCCCAACATCTTGCCAGTCTCATATGTTTTTTAAAAAAATAAAATAAAACTGAAGGCACAAGAGCCTGGTGCTGTGCTGGCTCGACCAGGCAGCCCCTGGGCTCTCAAGGGCAGCTGGGCAGCCAGGTTTTTCTGGCAGCTGGGAAAACATTCAAAATTAATTTCTCCCTTCCCTCCTCCTTGGGAAAAAAAAAAATAGAAGAAAATAAGTGATTAGAGCTTGGTAAGGGTTTTCTGTTACACCATTAAGCCACGCACAGCATGCCTCCCAACAGCCCTTAAGGCTATGGTGCTCCATCGTCCCATCCGTCTTGTGTCTGTCACGTCCCCGCTAACCTCCGGGTGTTTCTGTGGAGGAGGACTGGAGACCTATTGCAGATGCGAGTGCACATTGTGATCTCTCTTGTATCACAGATATTTTAATGCTTTTTTTTTTCCTTTTCTTTGTGATGAAGCCTCAAGTTCCGGCACTGTCGTGTGCGGTGCAGGGTTAGGACATTCCCGAGCTCCCAGGTGGAGCCGGTCCCATCACCGTGTCCTTCCGCAGCGATCGGACCTGGTAGAAAATTCTCTGCATGATGCTCTGCAGCTTCAGGGCATGAGATGGAATTTTGGAGGTGTTCCCTGTTCTTTGTGCTCTGCTCCTGGGACACTTCCAGGTGGGGTCAAAACTATCTGCGATCCTTCTGTTTAAGAGCAGCCAGCGTGATACACAGAGGGAGGGTCTCTGTTGTATCCCTATGACTTCTGTAGCTGTACAGCTGCAGTCCCCTGTAAAATCCCACCACGGGGAACGTTTTATTGTCACTAGTGGCCTGGATCACTTGGCAGGTGACGCCATTCCCTGCACCCTCTGGCTCTTCCCCTTGGGTGCAGCCGCAGGGGCTGTGGAAGTGAAATCAGACTGGCTGGTGCAGACGTATTTTGGTGTGTTCCCCATTTTCCAATATTTTGCTTTTATTTAGAGCCCCGTCCCCAGTGTCTGCTGGTGCTGCTGCCCTGGGTGGCCGCATCCTGCCTGCCAGTGGGTGCCATCCAGCCCTGGGCGATTGCCCTGCAGCCATTGAGACTGAAGCCTTAAGGCTTAAACATGAAGCCCAAGGGCTGAGGGCAATCGGATGCATGATTGGATTGCATCCTGCCCTGGGGGGGGGTCCCCAACCTGGCACGTAGCTCTCACCCCCTGAGGGTCGGATTGCTCAGTGTTGGATGGAGCCTTACACGTGGTCTGCCCCGTCTAACTGCTGCCTGTGCCTTCTGCCAGGAGCTCTCGTGCTGCTGATGGTTTTAATCATTAGAAAACGTATTTAAAGTTGATGGATGATGTGATGGTGATGTACACTACCTTACGCGGTCTTGGAAGTAAGTATATTCGTAAAAATGTAGTGGAAACCAAGGCTGGCAGGAGACTTTTGTTACCGAAAGTCTGTTTTTGTCCCAACGCATCCTGCCATCGATTCTTTTGTGAGAGCTAAAAATTGGCTGGCTGCAGTGGAGTTAATAATCATCTGAAATGGAGTTGAGCAATTGATGTTGCTGCATCAAAACGTTTCCCTCCTCCCTTCCCCCTCCTTCCCCCCCACTTCCCCCCAAAAAAGAAATTCCTGGCTTATACTCAAAATCCAGTCCAGTTCTCACTGTGCAAGTATTAAACTGTGGGTCTTTTCTTTCAAGTTTCTGGATTTTTATGGGCACAATCGGTCTGTTAACAGGACTTTTTTTTTACTATTTTTTTTTTGTGGTTTCAATGCATTTATATCATTGACCTTTGCTTTAAAAAGTGTCTGACAGTCTTTACTGGACTGGAGCTATGAAAAGGAGTGTTGTAAGGGGGCTTTATTCTATGGAAGCAATGACCACAGGCAAAGCTTTATATTTGCTGAGTGATTTAATTCTTGCACATGCAGAACTTGGCTCGGTGCCATGTGTAACATGTTGAGAAAAGGTCTGCTTGAGAGGCATTAAAACCAAACTTTCCAAAACTGTCACTTTTTTTTTTCAAAAATAGCTTTCTTCCCTGTTATTTTTAAGCTAACAAGTAAAATCAAGGGACCCTGCGCCAAAATGCTGCGCTGAGCTCTAGCAGAGTCATGGGGGAAATGAACCTCCTTTAAAGAAATGAAGTGGGAGTCTGGGTGGAAGGGTGCCAGCCGGGAGGAAGAGGACAGTGTCATTAGGATAAAGGCTTGAGCAAGGGAGAGGAGAGAGTAAAATGGAGCATCCAGGAGGAAGTCTGGGAGGGTGAATATTATACAACTCTAGTGCTTGGTCCTGTCAAGTCCTACTCATAGGGTGCATCCCCAAAAGATGAATTTTCAGGCTAAATATCAGATCCTCGCCAAATTAGTTTGCTTTTCGCTGCTTGGCTCTGCCCGTCCGCTGCCCGCTTACAGGAATATCTGTCTGGTAGCGGTCAGAAGCAAATAAAAACAAACTGCTTTTTGTTTGCTCTTGTTTTAAACACTGTGACAACGTTTGGATTAATGGTAGGTCTTGTGAAAAGCTCTTTAAAAGTCAAACATACTGAGCTGCTTAACAGCATCCCTTTGGATTCTGCATCTGCCTGCTGCAATTCCAGATAATGGTCTGGAGAGCAAGGAAACATCATATTTCTTCTTCCTTCTTGTAATCAGTTCATTAAATATGCCTGAAATTTTGTATTCTGAAACTATTAAATTGTGTAGCCACTTGGGCTGAGTTCCGTGTTTTGGTGTGCCTTTGAGTATTTCGCCTTCCTTTGGCAAGCAAACGAACAACAGAAATACTAAATTATGTTAATTTCTAACAGAAGCAATGTCTTCCCCAAAACATGGCAATCAACTGCATTTTAATTAAAAACAACGCATCAACAGTGCATCAAGCCATTTGGAGCCTCCGCCTCTATTAGTTTCAATCAGCGGATTTTTCGAGGGGCTTTTAGAAGCAAATTGTGCGTTGCTCGCTCTTCCCCAGCAGCAGCGAGGGAGAACAATAGATAATCTTTGTGCAGGCACACCGAACCCTGAAATACTGAGTTAGATAAAAAAAGTGTACGAATGGGGTGGAGGTTGTATAGGGGGAGAGCCAGGAGGAGGGCGCATCCAGGGACACGCAGGGGATGCTCCATGGATGGTACCTGCCTTGTCTGCTGCAGTGGCAAATAAATCCATCTCCTGGGGAAGACCAAACCCCATTTATCTGAGGTTCTGTCCTGGCTTCCCTGTGCAGCAGGCAGGGGTTGGGGTTTCCTGCGGGTCTCCCCAGAGCTATCGGAGATGTGGAGAGGCACTTCTGTGCTCTCTCATCCTCGGCTCGGGCGTTAGCGGTTCCCACGTGTGCAGGTGGGATGAGCTGTAGCCGGCAGTCGCCATGCCGGGGGGGGGATGGGAAGGAGAGTTCCGTCCGTTCCTGTGATTTCTCTGAGAGCTGAGCCTAAATGCTGCCAGCATATGAAGTTGTTATGGAAGCGATAGGTTTGAAGCCTCTTTGTGGAGGGACTGGCATGGAAAGCCAAAGGAATGAGGATAACCCCTGCTTTTTATAGCCTCCTGGTATGTGCTTATGCCAACTAACACCAATACCCTCCATTTTACTGTGCAGAGCTCCACCCTCCGCACAGTCGGCCTCCGTGCCCAAGCAAACAGGCTCCAGCCTGGGGTTAGCTGTAGTGGAAACCGCAGGGGAAGGGAAAACCTTCCCTTGTCTTTCCCTGGCTCCTGCTGGGTGGAGAAGTCGACTTTGCCTGGGTGGCCGTGGGGATGTCGCCTGGAAGGGATGATGAGGATCATGGAGGAGAAGTGGAGAGAGTGCAGGTGGCTGATGTCTCGCTCAGGTTTCAGCCCAAGGAGGCACCTGAGCTGCGGTGCCGGCTCGCGGAGGAGCTGGGAAAGCAGGTGGTGAGGAGAGAATTGTCCGCTCACCCGAAAATCTGGGAGGTGCTGCTCGGTGCCGATGCGGAGGGGAGGTGACTATCCACGTGGGTGCTCTTTGTTCAGGCGTAGTGAGCGTGGGTGTCCCGGTGTCCTGCAGGACCCGGGGCCGGCGCAGGTGCTTGGTGGAGCTGGGACTGGAGAGGGGCTGTCGGAGCATCTGCTGGGGGCTGATGCATGGGGGTGGCTTTGGGCCAAGGCTTGCCAGAATGAGTGATGACTTCTGGTTGCCCAGCTGGAAGTGCTGTCAGGGCAACTGGTTTTGCAGAGACTCAGCCTTTCTTGAACTTCTTGTCGCTTTTTGGAAATTGTTGCCCATGGGTTTCATGTCCCACTTCCAGCAGGCGTTTCTGCGCAGAGCTCCCTGCTCTAGAAAGGGAGTCAAAACCACTGACCACACATTTTTGCTTTGGATGCCTCCCAGCACATCCACATTCACTGTTGGTTTTTCTCTGTGCAGCTCTGGGAAATGCCAGTGTAAAGTTGGTGTCATGGGCCTGAAGTGTGACCGGTGCAGTGATGGATACTACAGGTTTAACGAAACCACCTGTGAGCCGTGCCAGTGCAACAACCACTCCAAAACCTGCAACAGCTCCACAGGTAACCTTCCTCTTGTGACCGTGGTGGGTGCAGACTTTACCTGTCTCCTCTGTCTCTGGTTTTTGCCGTTTTCATTCAGCAGACCTCCGCTCTCATCCTCTTCATCTGTGTCTTTATGCCTTGGGTACTCACAATTGTTACCTTAAAACCAAAATCAAAACGCACGGCAAGGTCGGAGCTAGTCGTCTTCTCAAGGAAGTCAATAAAAGCAGCGTTATTTACCCCAGGCTGCAGTGCAGAGCCTTTATTCCGCAGTCTCTATCGGAAATCAGTGCTCCATTGTTCTCTGCACTTACACAAATGCACAACACGGGCTTTTAAGGAGCTTTTGTTTAACTGCTGTTTACCTGGAAACATATACTGTACTGGCACTGACGTAAGGTGACTGCTACTGCCACAGATAACATGATTAGTGCTGGAAAAAACTGCCACCACCTAATTAATATTGCCCACTTTTTATAAATTTGCCTTGTTCATTTTCCTTGATCGTTTCTTTGCCTCTTGCTCGTACAGATGTTGATGGAGTGCCAGTGTCGAAGCACCTGTGCTTGAATAGCTTATGGGAGGGCAGGGAGGGAAACTAATTGCTTTCCCATCTCCACTGAAAGGAGAGATCCCAGAGGAGCAATGTTATGTGGCTGCCTGCGCAATCCCCACTTTAGCAACAAAACTCACACTTCAAAATCCAAATTGTCATCGAAACTTCTAGGCTGAAATGCAATTCTGTAATATTTACCCAGGAGCTTAGAAAGGAGCAATAATTTAAAGAAGGTTGCAGCATTTTTTGCAGAGCTGGCAGAGGCAGAGCTCCTCAAATATGGTGTTTGTGGGCAATTTCTGCGCCGGTGTCTGTTCCCTCGTGGCCTGGGTGTTGCAGCAGAGGAAGGGGCGGCCGCAGTGCTGCCTGTGCCCGGCCGATGCCCTGATCCTGCTTGGCAGAGAGGGTGTTCCTGTGGGTGTCAGGGGGAGCAGCAGGCACCAGCTCCACACTCCTTGAGGATGAATAATTGCATTAATTCCTACACTGAACTCCATGTGCTTATGTCCTGCTGACACCGAAAGATATAAGATTGAACCTAAAGCTGTGCGCACATCAGCTGTGTTACTGATTTGGAGCTGGGTGTGTGGGTTTTGTGAAGGAGTGAGATAATCTGCTCTTCCCTTTTCTCCCTCAATGTTCCCCCCGGCTCTTGATTTAAAAAAAAAAACAACAACAAAACCCCGGGCAGACCTTGCCTCTGGGCTGGGGCTGCTCAGGCAATGCTTCTGCTGGGGCTGTCCAGCGCTGACCATGGCACTGCAAAGAAAGACCCTCTTTTTGGTTAATGACCTATTGTTGATCTGACAGAAATCCCTTTTTAAAAATTTTCCTCCATCTGCTTTATTTGCTGCCGGGGGTGGGGGACCCCAACAAAACCAGAACAGAGAACAGTCGATTAAAAATTACATCCGACATCTAATAAGTATCGTGGGGCACTCAGCCTGCTCTGGAGGCTGCACTTTGTGTGACCTCCCCAGCTTCACAGCAACTGTGTGCAGGCTTTGTCAAATTTTCAAGGTTTTTTTTCCTATTAATGCTGTACTTTGGGCTCCCTCTGCCGGCTCCGCGACTGGCTCCGCGCAGCCTCGCTCAGCGATGCTCCGGTCAGGAGGAATATTTCAAATTAGTGGGCTGGAAATCGGGCAGCCAGAGCTCCCCAGGCGCCAGCGCTTCCTTCGACACGACCCTCGTGCCCCGCGTTGTGTCTGCGCAGTGAGTTCGGTTTCTTCTTCCCAGGTGGGGTCCCGTGAGGTCTGATCCTTCCTGAGGGCATTACCAGGATGGGAAGTGCTATTAATTATTCAGGCTTTCCATGGCGATACCTGATTGCAAGCCCGTGCGTGCTTTGCACGGCTGAGCAACTTGCTGACTCATTGGAAACGCAGCCATTTTGCAGGGTTGGTGTAGATAAACGTGAGTAATTTCTGTCGATGGGAAAGACATTGGTCTTGAAATGACCAAGACCGTACAGAAAACGCAGGTGTGGTTCCAGATTTACACCACCGTTCATGGCTGCAGAGCACAGTTCAAGGCAAGTGCTGATGGGGCAAACTGACCTTCCACGAGCTGGTCTGCCACTGGCATCCCACTGAAGCAGCTGATTGAGGTTTGCAACTAGAAAAACCGAGCCCAGCAGATAATTTTCCCCTCCAACCCTGACATCTCTCCCACAAAAACCACCGGCTTGTGTCTGACAAGCTGTTGGGTGAAGAGCAAACAGCGTGTGGGAGCTGACGCCGTGTGAGTGTCCTTAGTCACCGGGGTGCTGCCAGCCTCACCGCGTGGGTGAATCAGCCGCTTCCCAAAGGCGGCAGCTGCCAGGGTTTGCTTCCTGCCCTTGGCACCAGGGTCGGCTCCAAGGACGCGCCGGGCTCGCTCAGGGATGCTCGGCTGCGGAGTCATGGCTGTGGAAAGAGGAGAGTAGGAGCCATGCAGCGTGTTGGGTGTGCAAGGGAGCCAGACTCTTCCAATATTAATAGGAAAATGTGCTGTGTTTTTTTTTTAACAGTCAGCATTAACCTAATTCAGGATTTTTTTCTGTGGTTTATGTCGATATGAGATGTTTCCATACCCCCGCAGCACTGCTAGATTAGCTCAGTGAATCTCTTGTCTGCCGTTCCGTACGCAGGGAATAACCGGCCCTGTGCCACCCTGGTTTGTTAGAAGGTGGCTGTTGCCTTTCTGAAGTCTTGTACGTGGGATTTCATCGAATGAGCCTCCCTCAGGTCACTGCCACCAATTCGAGCAGCCTGCTGTCTTACAGGATGTTCCTGGTGATGGATGGGCTTTTGGTAGAGGTTGCATTTTTATAACTAGGGAGATTTTTCTTTCCCTGGTCACAAGAGTATAAAACCACAATTTAGAGGGCTGTGAGGACACATCCTCTGCTGAGACACAGCACGTTGATTTTCTGATTCAGGGGCTTCCCCAGGAAAGGGAGGTGGCTCATGTGAACCCCCAGTTCTCTGGTTCTCCAGGAAGGTCAGTAAGTGCTGCTGCCTTGTGCCTGTAGCAAACGTTGCTGCTGTGATGGGGATGGAGGAGCTGGGGCCAGGCTGGTGGGATGGAGCCATCTGCCCCCCGAGCAGGATGGTGGCACGTCCTTACCCCTGACCACCAGCTCTGTGCTGTAGGAATAGGTTGCACACAAAAAAGGGCAAAGGTATAAACTGGAGGGGCCCTTGGTGAGAGTGGGGGATTTGAAGCATCAGGATCCCGGCTCGCTGGTGCAAGTGCAAACTGAAGCCCCTTTCTTTGAGGACCATTTAATACCAGTAGCATGTGTTCACCTGCACTAACCTTTTAAAATGATGAACTGTGGGCCTCTCTGCTGGAGCTACCTACATTTTCTCATTGTGTGCGTGTGGAGGCGGGGAACGACCATCAGAAGGTTGTAAGAGGCCAGGATCATGTTTTGGCCGGAGGGTCTTCAAAATCACCTGTGAGCTCTGATAATTGAGAGTGCTCCATGCAGATTCTTGCTCCAAATGTTCTGCTCCAGTTCCTGCTGCCAAACGGTTGCTTGTGCTCCTGTCCCTTCCCCAGGCACCTGCCTGCACTGCCAGGAAAACACCGAGGGAAACCACTGCGAGCTCTGCAAGGAGGGCTTCTACAGGAGCACCCATCCTGCCCACGCCTGCCATCGCTGCCCGTGCTCCACAAACTGGCTCCTGCCGAATACGTAAGGCTTTTGGTTTGGTCTAATTTCTCACATAACGAATGTAGCTCTTCTCAGTGCGTTTCAATTAACTTGTCGCTCAGCGTGCATGGGCCCAGCGAGGCGGTTTATAGCCCGTGAATCTCCGTTCGTGGGAACCAGGGGCACCTTGCTGGAAGCAGCATCTGCCACGATGCGTCCCCGGTGCTCGTGTTGCTTCTTGTGAGAGCAGCTGTGCAGCGGAGGGCATCAGAAACGCCTCACTACAGCCTGCTCTGAAGAACCTGCGAGGTTTTGCAGGGAGAAACTGCTGGGCTTGTGGCAGCCAGGAGAGGGACAGGAGGTGGCCAGCAGTGCCGTGTAGCCCTCTGGGCCTTCTTCTGAACTTCTCCGTGGGACGCTAAATAGAGATTCCCCAGTCTTCCTGCTCTATTTTGATGCAACCAAGAGAAGCCATAGCTGTAATAAACACATATAACACTTTTTATTGGTATTTCCTTGATCAGTTTTGCCATCAAACCTTCTCTGGCTTCATGTAGGCCAAAAAGTGCCTGTGCATTGCTAACATCCCTGATATAGTTCCAGTTGTTTTCTGAAAATTGTCTGTCTGAGATAGAAATGTTCAGGAGTAATAATCTGTTTGCTCAGCAACGTGCCGAGCATGCTCTGTGAGGCTGGTACAAGGCATCAGAAACCCCCAAAGCTTTTTTCTCCCCTAGGAACAGAGAAACTGCTGCAGTTAAAAAGTTGAATTTTCAGCTTAAAATTTGGGATTGGTTAATACTCCTTGGCTGCTGATTTTTGTCATAGTGAGTTGTGGTCAGGTCGCACAGAACAAATCCTGCAGCGGGCGTTTCTCTGCAAGGGGCTGTGGCATGTACCTGGTTTGCTTTCTGTGTTCTGTAGAGCCTGGAGAAACTGCCCCGAGGTGCGACAAATGCAGAACTGGGTACACTGGCCCCAACTGCAACCAGTGCGACAACGGCTACTACAACTCCGACAGCATCTGCGTCAGATGTAGATGCAACGGGAACGTGGACCCGGCGCGCTCACCCAGCGTGTGCAAGCCGGAGAGCGGGGAGTGCATCGGCTGCCTGTACCACACTGCTGGGTTTCACTGCCAGGAGTGCGAGGACGGCTACGTCCGAGAGCCCGAGGGGACCAACTGCACCAAGAAAGGTAAAACACGCTTCTCAGATGGGTGTCGAAGCTGGGCGGCTCAGGTGGGCACAGGCTGCCTGAAGGCTGGGGAGAGAATTGTTCAGATTGGTACAGAGAAGAAAACCAGACCTGTGTAACACGTCGGTGCCTACTGGCCTTGAAATCTGTGGCTGAGAGTTAACTCTGTAACCCGGAATCCCAGGCTGTGCAGACATCTCTAGTGAACAAGCTGGAAAACTAAAACTCTTTGCAGTGTATTTAAATGTAGGTTTTCAGATTTCTGTTGCTTCATATACTTGATCTCTTGGTGCCCAGTGAACTGTCCTTATTGACTAGTCTGTTCAATGGCTCTGTCCAGTGCCCTAGAAAGGGTGCTTATAATAAATTTTGTCACTCCTCATACTCTGCAAACAACTATTTGGACCAAGTTTTTATATGTATATATGTTTAGGGTTTTTTTTTGGTTTTTAAATGGGGAAGCCAAAGCTCAGAAAGGTGAGATGCAAACTTGCAGAGCGAGTCAATGCCAGAATTTACTGGTACCCACTCTGAGGGTCTCTCATCAGTCTTCAATTCACATCTGAGACGCTGTGTGTAGTATCTCAGAGGCAAACTAGCTCTGGTACTTAGAGAAGCTACTGCACAGCAGGGAGACTCATAGTAAAATGAGAGAAAATGATTCTTAAGTTGCTTCTTCAGTGGTTATCAGGAGGTTGGTCCACAAGGTGGATCTCCAGCTCCATGCATGGAAACTTTACTGCTGTTGTGTATTAGATAAGAGAACCCGGAGTTCAGGAAAGTATCCGGGCCTAAATTCATCCTTGTCACCAACAGAGATTTAATTCAGATCTTCCATTAGGAGTTAATGTGGTTTTCACTCCCATGCTGCTCTCTGGAGGTGTAATCACAGAGTCCTTCTCTGCGCAGGGAGATGATCAATACGAAAAAGTTGAATGCTCATTAGCTGTAACTGCACCGTTACAGGGCTGGAAATGGCACTTTTGCATCGAGCCATCCATTATCTCCCCCTGCACAGCTCTGTCTTTGTGCTAAGAGCTGCATGACCTTGCTCCATTAAAATCCATATCTATGGCTTTGCTTGTATACTTGCAATTTCCACCATTCGTTCTAATTTAATGACATTGTTATAGGCAATTCCTGACGTGGGGACTGTCCCTTTTCAAAGGGATTGAGACATGGTCTTCTAGCTTTCCTGTTTCCTTGACACCTGTTTTTTCCCTTTCTTATAAAGCAATTAAAAAGGCGTACAGTTTTTTCCAGTTTCTTACACACAATTTGCCTAAAAATAGACGTGCTGAGGTACTGTGCATTAACCAGTTTTAAGTTAAGAGTTTTGTAAACCGCTAGTGCATTTGAGTGGCCTGGTTTTGAGTGGCTTCTAGAGGGAAATCATCACCCACCAGATCTGCAGATGAAATTGTTGGAGCCTGAGACTCTAAGTGGTCACGGTTGAAAAAAAACGGCGTGTTTCATACCAACCTCTGGTATCCACAGAGACTGTTCAGAGCCTTAAACCTGACCGAGATTTTGATGCTTTCAAGGCTGATGGAGAGAATATTCCAAGGATGGAATATTCTGACCCCTGGGTGGATGGTGTTCCTGCTGTGACAGTGAGGCATAGCAGCAAGGACTTAGTGATGCAGCGTGGCACCATGCCACCCAGTCGAGCATCGCATCCTTCCCTGAGAACTGGCGGGTGGGCTGCTGGCGCGGCCACGGCTCCTGCTGGTGCTTATTCCTGGAGGGAGGTGGCAGAAGCTCTGCGGAGCCTGCATTTCCATCAAGCAGCTGGATATGACGCTCACGTCAAAGCTGCCAAAGCAGCCCATTGACTGAACAGCTGCTGCTCTCAAGGAGCTGCTTTAGGACATCTGGAGGGCTGGCACGGCCCCGGTGAGCGGAGACAGGCGGCATTGTATCGCGGCCCAAAAGCCACCGTCCGCGGTCAGAGCACGGCACTGTTCCACCATGACGTTACTGTCAGTTCCAGGAAATGTTTTCACCCGTGTCCCCCTTGCCAGCACTTAGCTGATGCTGACTCACAAATAAAGCCCAGAAAAGTCCTGCTTCCTCGCTGGTGAATCAGCCATTGTCTCTGTTCTGCTTTTTTTTCTAATTATAGCTATTGGCAGGGTATACCAAGAATTGAGTGTTGATGAAGGAATTTGGAAAAGATGACCGAATTCCTCATGCCCTTCTCCCAAAGCTGTATCCAGGAACCTCTTGCTCCTGTCACGTTACTTCCTACTGCGAAATTCTGCCTGTTATCCCATAAAGAAATGCCTTCTGGCATTCAGCATCCCGAATATCCTTATCAATGTAAGGCAGGACCTGCAGAGGACAGAGGAGCAGCTGCAGGGAGGGACTCTGAGCAGGAACCTAAATTAGTTGTGTGATGCCCCTTCCAGAGGAGTTTTTTCGTTGCCTGAACTGGGAACATGGCAGCCCAAAGTTAACTCGTGGGAGTTCCCCCAAGGGCTCGTGGCAAGAGATGTGCTGAATATTTCCAGCTCCTGTTGCCACTGGAGATGCAACTTAGTGTAAAATTAGTCCTTCGGAAGCGACTCTTCTCAGTCATAATTAGTAGACGTTCTCTTTGGGAGAGCTGGATCACTACAGCACAGCACCATCAGCTGTAATTGCTGCAGCTGTACGTGGCTTTAACATGAAGTTGCGTTTTTGGTGGCAGGAGGAAAAATGGAAGAGAGTGGGAAAGAGGGTGCAGGGAGTCCTGTGGAGCAATAGGTGTAGAGAACATTTTGGTTGATTGAGGCTTCAGCTTCTGGAAGGTTCCTGCTGCCTGGACTTGAGAGTCTAAAATAGATCAGATTATTCCTGTGATGAAAATGCTTTATTAGTTGCATTTGGGAGCCAAATACTTAGGTTCTTATGGTGCTTTCTGAGGCCTGTAGCTCAACTGGTTTGAAGGAGGCGTAACGAATTTGCACCCCACTTACGAAATCTCCAGTGTTGTCTTGTTGCTGACTCCTAGATCTGAGCAGGGAGTTAGCCCATGTCTGCTGGAAGCAAGGCAGGTTCTTGGCTGTTTTGTGGCTGGGAACAGGCTGCAGAGGAAGACAGAGCTTGTGGCACAGTCTGGTAGATCCTATGTTCTCATCCTTCGTGTGTGAACATATGCCAGCAGCTGAAACCAAACCAGAATCCAAACTGGCTTCTGCTGTGTTTGAATGCTTCGTAAGAAGATCCACAGTCTTTTTTTTGTTGTGATTCGGTTACCTTCTGCTTCTGGTTATGCAGACTAGGGCTTTTTCTGTGTGATTTGTGTACGACTTCTTCATTCAAAACCATGAATTGCTGGGATTGTTTTGCCCTTTTACATAAAGCAGTGTGAATACTGAAACCCCTTGCTAAATGCTGTGATGGCAGAAAACTCATGGTTCATTGTTTCATTTTTTATCTTCCTGTACAGGTAAGGCAGGAATAATAATATTGTGAACATAATCCTACATCTAGTGTACTAACTGTGAAAGGTTTAAGCTCCTGGAGTTGCTGTGTCCTCCCAGCCTGATTGTGCAGCCCACGTAGGCGACAAGTGAAACTGCCTTCACTGGGTTCAGAGTCCAAACTCTGTAGAGCCCCGTTCTCATGGGCTGAAGATGAGCTGGACTGGGTGGTTTGCTTTCATCATGGGCTCACGTATCTAACACTGAATCTTGACTGCTGCACCTATCCATCCATCACCAGACTTTTCATAGGGATGCTGAAGTCCGTGAGCACTTAGCACACAGAATTATTTAAAAAATCAAAACCCTGACCCTGGCTAACTATTTTTGTAAACTATTTAAAAAAAATACCAGCTTTAACAGTGTAGACTTAATTGCTGTAATAACTGTGATATAAATGTCAAGTCTCTTATGTTTGTGTTTGATTCCAGCTTAGCATATTTTTATTGATCATTTTTTATTTGTTTTGTAGAAGCCACTCTCGGGCCAGAAACAAGGGAGCTGACAACTTCTGCTCCGAATGCCAGTAAGGCAACATCATCTTCGATCGCAGTGATAAACAGTACATTGTCCCCAACGACTATACACACTATATTTCCTATGAGTTCCTCTGACAATAGTACCTCTGCTTTTGCAGATGTTTCATGGACTCAGTTTAACATAATTATTTTGACAGTTATCATCATCGTTGTGGTCCTACTAATGGGCTTTGTGGGTGCTGTCTACATGTACCGTGAGTATCAAAACAGAAAACTTAACGCTCCTTTTTGGACCATTGAACTCAAAGAGGACAACATCAGTTTTAGCAGCTACCACGACAGCATACCCAACGCTGATGTTTCGGGGCTGTTGGAAGACGATGGGAATGAAGTGGCACCGAACGGACAGCTAACGCTGACGACTCCCATGCATAATTATAAAGCTTAGCAAGAAGTGATCCAGCTATTCCAAAGTTGGCTTAAAAAAGTTACAGGGCTTGTTGGAGGGGTATCAGGATCCGTGCCAAGGCTCCACGCAGAGGAATTTGCTCTTCAGATACTCTTACGCTGGGCGTGCTGTAGCTTGCAGGTGAACAGAAAACAAGCGTAGTACATCCGAATTTCAGGTAATATGGTGGAATGCATGCAGTGCCCTGTTCTCCATAAAGATCCATAGAATTCACTGTTGTTAAGGACTTGATTACACTGATCTTGAAATATTTATTTTTTATGAAGAGGTGGTGGGGTGGAGAAAGCAGTCCCCCATGGTTAATCAGAAGCTACTTGATTTCCAGCCAACCTAACACTTATGTCTACATCCTTTAGTTTGTAAAGTAGCTCATGAATTAACAGTGGATTTTCAGGAGATAGACCTTTGTAAAGGCTTCATATTAGTTCCTGATATCAATTTGTTTGAAACGGAGGACAAAAAAAGGGAAGTAATTGTTCACTGTACTACCAAGAGGCAAGTAGAGGAGTGAGTTGCACACTTGAAAAAAGTCACCATTATCAGTTTCCAGCAAGCAGGGAAACAGGCGGAGAAAAAAAAAAAAGGAAAATATTGGAGTTAGGGAGGAGACTAAGCTTTTCCCTTTCTGAATATTTATACAGGGTGATGATGCTATTGAAACATAGCAATCCATTTTTTTTTCTAGAAGGAGTTAATGAACTTGTATAGTTTCTGTGCAAGGGAAGACGACAAGACATCTCAGGGTTGCCGTGTAAAAATAAAAGCTAGGCTTAATACCCTACCCTGATAGAAATGGTGTGTTCTGTATATAAAATGTAATATATCTTCTTGGAATTGTATTTGTAATTATTTGTAAAAAAGACAACCAACCAACCAAAAAAAACCCTACAACAAACCCATGAACCCCTCCCTAACATCCCCTATTCTCCAAGTCATATTTTATCATCTAGATTTTAATTGTATAGCGGTTAGTGGCGTTGTTTAAAAAGAAAAAAAAAAAGAGGATTGTTTAAAATACTGTAAATTAGATGGCAATATTGTTGGAGCTGGGACTCTGGCAAACACTGACTGCTTAAAGCTTTTCTTCTAGTGTCATTGAATAACTTTCATTTTTAGAGAAAATGTGAGTGCTCCCTACTTGAATCTGTCAAATTTTCCCATTCCCTTAAATATAGAGTGAATACTAGTGTCGCCATGACTAGGGCCTAGTAGGTGTCCCAAAATCGGATGTACCATTCTGTTACTTGCTTTTAAATCTTTATACAAAATGCAAACACCCTGTCGTGAATGCATTGAGAGCCTGATCTCGATGGCTGAGCTTTTTTCCGAAGTGGCTGCTCATCACATGAGCGGATCTCGTGTCCGTCTCTCCAGCGGTGACACGCTGATGGGGGGACTTGCCGGAGGGCTGAGCGTGGCCTCCTGGCCTCTTGAAGGGCAAAAGCAAAAATCTCCTGGATTTGAGTGGAAACGGCTTTCAGCCGAAGAAGAGCTGGCAGGAGCCGTCTGTGCTTCTAGGCTTAAAAGCTAAATGTGCATGGACGGATGTGCAGGAAATGTATGTAGCACAAGGTGGTGGTGGGGAATCAGCTGTCAAAAAAAACCTACAGGGGATTTCAGGTTTTACAGCTTCCCCTGATTTTTGTGGGAGGCTGGCAGACCATCAGCAGAAGAACTAATGGGCAGCACAGCACAGGCAGATTGCACCACGTTGCTCCTCGCTGGTGCCTGCATCCATGCCTGGAGGCAGGCACCGTGTCCTTCCCTGTGCTGGGGAGCTGTTGGGTCCGACCCGTGAAAATCAATACCATGATATTTAAGCAGGGCGTGAAACAAATCTTTTACGTAACTCATGACCAACCTCAGAACTAAAGCTGCATGGCTGTGTGTGTTGGTGCTTTGCAAGTGACTGAGGCTGAGGATAAATAAGTACCTGCTAAAGGTCAGCAGGGGCTGACGGATGCATCCTCAGAGCCCGGCAAAAGTAAATATTTCTCAAGATGAGAAATGGTAGGAAGAATGTGGTGATTATTTATTTGCTTTCTGGTGCTGCATGGAGGCTTTTCTTATCAGTGGAGACTTTGGAGGGTGGGGAGGGGAATAGGTGCTTTAAAGACATGCACAAAGATGCCATTTCTGCCTCAAAAACTTGCTGCCTGATTTAAAGATGAGGCATGGCGAGTAAGAAGGAAAGTAGTCAGGGATGACCACCGGCGAGGGCAGAATGTGGGTATTGCATATGGCCCCGAGCCGATGGAAAAGCTCCCGTTGCCTGCTCTGGGCCTGGGTGAGGTCCCATGGTTTAGGCAATAAATGTGGCTGATGTCATTCAGAGCGATGTTACTTTTAGTTATAAAACGGGGGAGGACTGGAGGAGAAAAATCTGGATATTGCTAATCCTTGAGTTACTCATCGAACTTTTAAAGAGCAGAGTGGTGACAAAATAGAAAATTTCCTAAAAACTGTAACGATTTAGCAGTGCTGATGTAGCGATACACTTGCACTTGGTCACTTCGTAGGGTGGGGAAAGGTAATTTAGGAAGCGTTAGCTTCTGGGATTAATGCTAGCAGGCAAAGTGAAGGACAGATTGTTCACTTTAATGTTTCCGAAATACTTTAGTAGATCTTTTCATCTTTGCCACAAAACACCTCTTCCTCAAATTTTGGTATGATTGTAGGCAACTTTGTAACAGGAATAGGCTTTGATTTTTCTCTCGCTGCAGAAATACTGACCACCTGCAAAACCAGAGTGTCAGTTCTGATGCCGAGCCCTCCTACCAACAGCACAGGAGGTGTTTGCATCTGGGCTGCTTCTGACCTCCAAACGACTCTAAAAGCTTTGTGGTTGAGCCTCAGCTTTGAAAAGAGGAGGAGGTCAGGATGCCTTAGTCAGTCTGCAAGGAGGGCAGTACAGCCGTGGGTCGCACGTCTGGATGAAAGGATCTAGACGGCCCTTGGGGATGTGATGGGAAGCTTGGCTGGGCAGGGGGGACCAGGTTTGGACAGCAGAGGAAAGCACAGAATGTTCTTTAGTAGAGACTGGAGCACAGCAAGGATGTGGCACTGGGACAATGCTTGTCAGATGGCAGAGTGACTCAGCAGGGAAAAAAAAGCCATCTACCCCCAGCCAACCAGCCCTTTGGCACCGAGCAACAACATTTATAGAAGGAGATGGATGCCTCAGCAAAGAAAGAATAAACAGTTTCATGTTTGACTTTGGTGATGTGAGGTTAGATCCTCCTTGCTCTCTCCATCAATCATGCAGCTGTCCCGTGGGCACCATGGGAGGTGAGGAAGAAGCTGGGCAGGTTATATCTCTGATCGGCTTAGGTTGGCATTGTATGTTGAGGGAGTGCAGAGCTAAAACAGCTGTGCCAGGCTACCAGAGGCCACCAGGACCACTGACTTGCCATGTGTTACAACTTGCCATGAAGCTTCCCAGATGTTGAGGTTTGCCCTGTGTCACGTTGCAGTATGGGCAGGTAAAACAGAAATGGGCTTGCAGGGCTACATTGAGGCCCAACTCGGAAGCTAGTGGGACAAGGGGAAGGCACCTGGGTGACTTCCAGGGCTGATGTGGCAGTACAGATGAATGTAGCTTTCCTGAAGGTCCACCATGCATCACCTTGTAATGGGGCATGCTGCTGTCTGGCTGCAGCGGTGTGGCTGTCGTGGAGAAAGGCAGGCGCTGGCATGGTACGGCAGCTGTAGAGCGTAGAGAAGGGATGACAAGGCAGGTGGAGGTGGGAAACCAGCTCTCAAGGCTCGATACTCAGGGTCGTGAGGGCCCTGTGGATCCAGCTGGTCTGGGTGGGATGAGTTCAGTTCCACAGTCAAGTAACCGAAGGCAAGAGGATATAATGGAGTGGTTAAAAGGCAAAAAGCAATGATGTGTCAAAGGCGGGGGGCAGCCTGGATGGCTCACAAATTAGGGGAGCATTTGGTAAGCACAGAGTGAACAGACCTGCAAAAATGTGGTTGGGTTCATGTGGATCAGATGATCTCGAATCTTATGAACCACTGTTGCGAGAAATAGCTGCATGGAGCGCTAGCCCTGGGGAGCTGTCAGAAGATGTCATCCATCGGAATGATAATTCCCTTGGACCAGGCTGAGCAAACTTAGCACGCTGGAAACCATTTATGAAAGAGGAGGAGATGTATTCAGCATCTTTCAGGTGTCCTGGGCCAGTTAACCACTGCTATGCAGCATCTTTATCTCAAATGTTACATGCAATGTAAACGTGGCACAAAGTTTGCACAGTCTCCTTTAAATAAAGGATGTAAGATTGAATCCTAAAAATACGTTTCTCTTTAAAGTGAAGTTTTAAAATGAGCTCCCACAGGACTCTGCTCTTCATGTGTCAGAGGGATGGATTAAAATGAGAAAAATGTGGGCCTTAAAAGTTGTACTTGCTCCCAACTGAAACCCATCAGTCTTTCTACACATCCAAATAAGGCATCTCCTAAGCATATGCTATGCTTACAAAAGCATTTCTAAAATAAAGTGTATGATTTGAATATATGTCAGAATTTATACAGAAGAATGTTATTTAAAATGAATAAAAATAAATGTATATAATTTGTATCTATGCCACTTTGTTTTTTGCATTTGTTTTTTGTTCATTAAAGTTCAGCGAGACTCTTTCCACTAATAGCAACCAGAGCTGGATGGAAATGTAAAGGATTGAATCTGGTTTCATCCCAGTAATGACATTTGTTCCAAGAGAACTATTCTTTCATTACACTCCTGTGTGTGAGATGAGAACCATGGAGCGAAAATGCTTTTTAACATTAGATATTCATAAGTACAGTTGACATTCTGTGTCAGATAACCCATCTGAAAAATGAGCCCCATGATCTCTTCTATCTGCTTATTAAGAATTCCAGCTTTCAGCCGCTTTCATTAACATGTTTGGTAGCTAGACAGGCAACGTGTATGTCCCCGTAATTGTCTGTGATGTTCACATAGACATATTTTGTCAGATGTATGCACTCACTAAAAATGAAACCTGCACAGCAAAGCTAGAAATTGGTACAGGATATCACATTTTTCTTCATGATCGCAATGGTCTTTCAAAGGAAATTTATGTTAGATACTCGGAAATCCACATCTGTGGCGTCAGTAGTTTTCAGCAGTTCTGGTAGTGTCTGCAAAAGGACCTATGGAAAACTTGCCTTTGTCACTTGTCAGTGTTAGGAAATTGCTTTTTTTTTTTTTTTTGGCACAGAAGCAAATACAAATGCTAAGGGCAAGTCTTTTCTGCTGAATGTGATGTCAAACTCTTTGGCCCTTATTAAGCAAAGAACTTGGAGAGGTAAGTCAGCATCAATTAAGCGAGCTTAATTTAATTTAATTTAACACTTAAAACTAAGTGTTCATTCAAATGTTTAACTGAGCCAGAGCTGTATAAGCAAGGGCCACACTGGTGAAATTGCAGGGAGTTTATTCAGACCCGATTTGCAT